CTCAGGTGTACGTACACCGCAACGCGCAAAGCGACTTTCGGGGAGATTTAGGGTTTGGGGTTTGGAGCGCAGGGCTTAGGGTTTAGGGCTTGGGGTTTGGGGTTTAGGGTTTGGGGTTTAGGGTTTATGTATCTGCAGCCACGGAAGGACGAATGGTTTGTTTCGAAGTGAAAATTGAAAACAAGAAAGTGACGGGAATGAAGGAAGTAGGAAAACTTGAAGAGCTTTTGATGGACAAAAAGAATAAAGAATTAATTGGCAGCATTAAAAAAGAAAAATGGTTTTCTACTTTTCTGCTTTTCCACTTCTTTTGCTTTTCCCCCGTGCCTCTTTTGGGTGTCTGCACGTACACCCGGAAAACGGGGTGTACGTACACCTCAGGAGCAGCAGCAGAGTCTTTCGTTAGCGCGTCTTTTTGGAAAATTTGAACACTTATGGCGCAGTTTTTGTTGCAATTTGCACAATTAAGATCAGATTTAACATTTGAATTCGAATAAAAGCAATTTAATTAATTAAAAAATACTTTTTTGCTTTTTTTTGTGGACTCGGGGTGTAGATACACCGCAGCAAACACCCCCTGCAAAAAGGCGTCGTCGCCCAACTGATTTCCGGAAAAGGCCCTTGGGTGGTGTCTCGGGGCGACGGAGACGACACAGAGGTGAATTAAAAGATTAATTTAATTTATTTATTTTAATTTAATTCTTTTTTCCACAATTTAATCTTTTATTTCCACAAATTTACTCCCTTTCCCCCAATGCGCGTTTCCGGCGCCTCCGCCGCTCGCGGCCAAGCCGCCAGGTGTACGTACACCCCAACCGCGACGCTTCCCCCGCGCCCTCTTTTTGTTTCCTCACTTTTATTTATTTTAATTCCACTTTTGTTGTTTGCCGCCTGAAGAGTCCGGCGAAAAGAAAGTTGGAAAGTCTTTTGGGTTCTTGCAGACGCCTCAGGTGTACGTACACCCCAGCCCTCGCGAGCTGGCTAGTCGCGTTTGGGGTGTACGTACACCTGAAGCGCCGTTTTGAAATTTTTGCATGCGGCTGGTTTTGCGGGGTGTACGTACACTGGAGAGGGCGGGTTTTTGGGGATTTGTTTCGGAGTTTCTTTCATTTCTTTTTTTTTCTTTTTGCAGCTTCGCGTCCACTCCTACGAAGGAGATCTCCTGGCTTCCGTCGACACCAAACAAGTCCACAACCTCCAGCTTTCCGTCAGCGGCGACGGCTGGTCTGCCGCCACGAGCTAGCTAGCTAGCTAGCTAGCTAGCTAGCCAGCTAGCCAGCTAGCTAGCTAGATAGCTAGCTGGTCATTCTATTAGCTAGTCAGCTAGCCAGCTAGCTAGGCATATTGCTAACCGGCTAGGCAGTCGAGCAGACAGCCAGATAGCTAGCCAGCTAGCCAGGCAGCCCGCTAGCTAGCTAGCAAGCCAGCTGGTCAGCTAGCTAGCTAGCTGACCAGCTAGCTAGCTAGCTGACCAGCTGGCTAGCCAGGTGTAAACATGGACGTGCAACAGCTAGCCAGGTCGATAACTGCAGAGCTTCAGTTAGCTGGCTAGCTAGCTAGCTAACTGGCTAGCTGGCTAGCTAGCTGGCTAGCTAGCTGGCTAGCTGCCTGGCTAGCTGGCTAGCTAGCTGGCTGGCTAGCTAGCTCATCAGTAGTTAGCACGCTTGCCTGCAACTCTTCACGCTTTAAACTCTAAACACTTGCCGCTAAACCCTAAACCCTAAAGACTCCCCGCCAAACCCTAAACCCTAAAGACTCCCCGCCAAACCCTAAACCCTAAAGACTCCCTGCCAAACCCTAAGCCCCAGAGCCTCTCCGCAAACCCTAAACCCTAAACCCTAAACCCTCGTGCGTTTCGGTTTGCTGCAGCCTCTTTGGCTGCGCGGCCTGGGCCCCAGGAGTTAAAATATTTGAAGTGAAGGCAAAAGGCGGAAACTTCCAAAAGGTGAAAAGACACTTGCGCTTGAGGTGTACGTACACCTCAAGGCTCGCGGCGGAGCGCGGGGTGTACGTACACCTCGGGTCCTTTGCGCGTTTGGAAAAATTAAAATTAAAACTAAAATTAAATTAAAATTAAAATTAAAATTAAAATTAAATGAAGATAAAAGAATAATGAAGTTAAAAGATTAGTTGGGAAAAGACGCAAAAAGTCCAAGTCAAACGGCCGAAGAAAACCCCAAAAAAGGGTTTGGGGAAGGGTTTGCTGCAGCAAAACCCTAAACCCTAGCGGCGAGTTCGAAGGCCGCAAAACCCCAAAAAAGGGCTTGGAAGCGGCGCTTAAAGCGAGGTTTTGTTTGCTGCTGCTGTTACTGCTGCTGCTGCTACTGCTGCTGCTGCTGCTGCTGCTGCTGCTGCTGTTGCTGCTGCTGCTGCTGCTGTTGCTGCTGCTGCTGCTGCAGCTGGAGAAAGCCATGGACGTGAAGAGCTCTTCGGGCTTAATTGCTTTTTGCATTTCTGAAGATTCAAAAAGAGCTGCTGTTGTCAACAAAGGGGGAGGGTTTTCTCTGTGGCGCCTCGACGTCCGCCACCAGGCACGCAAACCCTAAACCCTAAACCCTAAACCCTAGCCCGCCCTAAACCCTAAACCCTAGCTGGCCCGTACCCTAGCCGGCACTAAGCCCCAAACCCTAAACCCTAGTTCATGGCAGCGAGGAGGGACAGGGGCTCAACGGACAAGAAGTCCTGACCGATCGAAACCACGCAGGTTTAGGGTTTAGGGTTTAGGGTTTAGGGTTTGGGGTTTGTTCTGCAGGCCGGGGAAGACACGAAGAAAATCACAGAGACGACAGTGCCGTTGGAGTCAAGCGGCCGCACGACACTTCGTAAACCCTAAACCCTAAACCCTAAACCCTAGACCGTAAACCCTTGGGTTCCGCAGCTGCAGAGTCCCACCGCCAGAGAACCAGCTGGCAAATTAGGGGGCTGGGGTTGGGGCCTTCTCCACGCGCTAGGGTTTAGGGTTTAGGGTTTAGGGTTTAGGGTTTAGGGTTTTGTTTCAGACTTTTCCAGAGACGGGGAAGTTATAATTGTGGCTACTGGAAGCACTTTGCACTTTTTCCGCGCAGCAGAACTTCAGCTGTTCAAAGTAAACCCTAAACCCTAGAAACCCTAAACCCTAAACCCTAAACCCTAATTGGGCGTTCCCGTTAGAAGGCTTATGCACTGCTGCTGCTTTGACAACCTCTGATTTAGGGTTTTCAGGCAGTGAGGCGGGGGTTTCGGATGAGGGTTTAGAGTTCGTGATTGGGGTTTAGGGTTTATGATTAGGGTTTAGGGTTTATGATTAGGGTTTAGGGTTTGTGCTGCAGACTGTGGAGCACGTGACGAGCCAGCCGATCGAAAGTTTGATTGTTGCTCCTAACAACAAATTCATTCTCCTAAGCTCCGTAAACCCTAAACCCTAAACCCTAAACCCTAAACCCTAATCGCAAGCCCTAAACCGTAAACGCTGGCCGCAACCCCCTAGTGGACGTCTCCAGCGGTTAAGAGGCGAAACGTTAGCGCACTTGAGCAAGCATGCGCAGTGTCTGCAAACCCTAAACCCTAAACCCTAGTCCGTAAACCCTAAACCCTAGTCCGTAAACCCTAAACCCTAGTTCTGCGTGTGCCTTGCAGAAAGGCCTGCGTCCCGTGATCCTCCGGCTTCCGCAGTACTCTTGAATGGAATTGAAAAAGTGAAAAAATGCAAAAAGAATTATCTGAAAACCCCGCAGTTGGGGTGTACGGACAGCTCGCGCCGCTGCATGCATGCAGCGGCTGGGGTGTATGCGGAGCTTGCATGCGCAGAGGCTTAATAATTGCGACAAATTGAACTCTAAATGTCTTTATTTTGCATTAATTTCCAAAATTGAACTCTAAATGTCTTTATTTATTCAATTAAATGTCTTTATTTATTCAATTAAATGCTTCCTCCCATTCAAAATGCACTTGCGCCTTCAGTGGGTGCTCAGGTGTACGTACACTCGGGTGTACGTACACCGCAAAAAGGCTCAAAAACTCTCCACAAAAAAATAAAATTCTTTTTTATTTTTATTAAAATTCGCACTTTCACTTTATTTTCTCTCCGTGGAATCTGCAAATAAATAAATTCGAAAAACAAAAAATAAAAATAAAAAATAAAATCAAACGACGCATGCAGACATAATTCAAGTGTACGTACACTGCACCCAAATATACTTAAAAGCTTCGCCAGCCATCCCTGCACCTACTCGGCTAGCTCGCCAGCTAGCCCGAGGCTAGCTAGCTAGCTAGCTAGCCAGCTAGCTAGCTAGCTAGCTAGCTAGCTGGCTAGCTAGCTGGCTAGCTAGCTGGCTAGCTAGCTAGCCCGCTGTGAATGCGCAGCCACTCGAAACTCTTCGCTAGGCAACTTGAGAAATAGAAAAGCTTCCTCGAAAGCTTTAAGGAAATGCTGTTAATGCAAAAAGAGCGACGCCTCCCTGCTGCTGCTGCTGCTGCTGCTGCTGCTGCTGTCGGGCGACGCAAGCAGCTAGCTAGCCACGCCCGGCTAGCCACCGCTAGCTAGGCGTTGCTGGCTACTTGCTTTTGGCTAGCCGCAGCTAGCTGGACTTAGCTAGCTCATACTGCCCCAACTGGCTAGCTATACTTAGCTAGCCACCGCTAGCTGGCCACAGCTAGCTGGTCACATTTAGCTAGCTGCAGGTAGCTAGCTGCATGCGCTGCAATTCGGAAAGAATGGGGCCTCTGCTGCTCTGGCTGCCGCCACAGCTAGCTAGCAAGATAGCTAGCTAGCGAGCTGGCTAGCTAGCTAGCTGGCTAGCTAGCTGGCGGGGGCCCCCACTGTGCAGCTAGCCCGCTGGCTAGCTGGCTAGTTGGCTAGCTGCCTAGCAAACTGACTGGGCAGCTAGCTAGCTAGCTGGCTGGCTAGCTGGCTAGCTAGCTGGCTAGCTAGCTGGCTAGCTAGCCAGCTAGCTAGCTGGCTAGCTGGCTAGCTAGCTTGCTAGCTAGCCACGCAACGACTCTGGAGAAGAGAACAGACTCCATCACTGATGGTGTCTGTGACGGTGTGCTGCTGCGATGAGGGGCTCCGCTGCTGCGTCTGCTGCTGCTGCTTCTGCCGCTGCCGCCGCTGCTGCTGCTGCTGCTGCTGCTGCTGCTGCTGCAGCGCGGCCTCCAGCTCCTTGTCTCTCCTTCGCCATCACATAAGCCACAATTTCCGCAGAAGTGGGAGAAGCTGTGGGGCCCCTTTGTTTGCTTTTCAAAGCTGTTTCTATTTCAGCTTTCACGCTGCACTCCAGCAGCAGCTGCTGCTGCTGCTGCTGCTGCTGCTGTTGGTCTTGCAGCTCGGTTTCCTGCTCTTCCGCCTGCTGCTGCTCGCGCCAAGGGTCCTGCCACCTTGCTGCTGCAGCAGCAGCAACTGCGGCAAATACATTTCCCTGGGAAGCCAAAAGAGAGAACTGCAGCAAAGAGCAAACAGCAGCTGGCGAACTTGCTGCAGCGGCAGCTGCCGCGGCAGCAAACCAGCAGCAAAAGAAGCAGCAAACAGCTGCGGCAGCCCCTCCAGCTGCTCCAAGCAGCAGCAGCGGGAGACTTGCTGCAGCACGCGCCGCAGCACGAAGAGCTGCAGCAGCGCGTTCTGCTGGTGTACAGACACTGCAGCAGACGGCGAGAAGCAGCAGCAGCAATCCATTCCCGTCAAAGCAGCAACATGTCTGCAGCAAAACAAACATTTCATTTATTTCTTTTAATTGCTGCTTCATTTATCCACTTTGCTGCTTCTTTGCTGCACCAAAGGCTCTCCTCCACGTGCAGATAAAGCCGCAGCAGCAGCAGCAGCAGCAGCAGCAGCAGAAGCCGCCACAGCAGCAGCAGCAGCAACACAACCGCCTCAACAGCAACAGCAGCACGACCCGCCCCGGCAGCAGCAACAGCAGCAGCTGCACAACCCACCCCAACAGCAGCAGCAACACAACCTGCCTCAGCAGCAGCAGCAGCAGCAGCAGCAGCAGCAGCAGCAGGGCTCACGCATGCAGGTCCAGCAGCAGCGCATGCAGCGCCTCCCTTGTGAGCGCCAGCTCTACGTGCTGCGGCAGCTGCCCTCCTTGCTGCTGCTGCTGCTGCACCAGCAGCAGCAAATCTTCCACCTGCCACCCCAGAGCCCAGGCCGCTCGCTGCAGCGGACTGGCCACTCGCCAGTCTATCACGCCCTCGCTGCTGCTGCTGCTGCTGCTGCTGCTGCTGCTGCTGTTGCTGCTGCTGCTGTCCGCTCTTGCGGGAGCAGCAACTGCTGCGCGGGAAGCACACAGGGGAGGGGCCAGAATGCGAGCAGGCTCGGCGGCTGCAGCAGCAGCAGCAGCAGCAGAACCCGTCGCTGCTGCTGCTGCTGCTGCTGCTGCTGCTGCTGCTGCTGAAAAAGTATATCCCTCATCACTACGCGCATCTGCATGCGCGGTGTCTCCCAAACTGCAATCTGTAGAAAGCGATGCTGCTGCTTGCTGCTGCTGCTGCTGCTGCTGCTGCTGCAGCTGCGTCAGCAAAGGTCCCTGATGCTGCTGCTGCTGCTGGTGGGGCTGTTGTCGCGGCTGGAGCAGCAGCAGCAGCTCCTGCTGCTGCTGCTGCTGTGCCTTGGAGTAAGTCTTGCTAAAGCTCTCCGAGAAAACCTGCTGCTGCTGCTGCTGCTGCTGCTGCTGCTGGTGTCTCTGCTTCACACAAATCCCGTCTTGCTGCTCCGCCTCTTTCCTCGCCCTCACTGCTTGCAGATAAGCGTTTCTGCAGCCACCCAAACCCTAAACCCTAAACCCTAAACCCCAAACCCTAAACCCCAAACGCTAAACCCTAAACCCTAAACCCCAAACCCCAACCCCTAAACCCCAAACCCCATCCCGAATCCTTGCCGTTCACCACCGAGTCCCGAACCCCCCGCCCCCGCCCAACCCCCAAACCCCAAACCCTAAACCCTAAACCCTAAACCCTAAACCCTAAACCCTAACCTGAATCCGTGTTTTTTGACGGTGAAGTAGCGGCGAACTCGCTTGCCCTTGATGTGCCAGCTGGCTGCCCAGGCTTTATAATTGCCATCTCTTTTGTAATAAACTCCTCCGATTTTGGGGAGTTCTTTGTCTCTGGGATCGTCTCCGGGATCGGGATCGTCTCCGGGATCGTCTCCCTCCTCCTCCCCACACTCCTCCTCCCGCTCCTCCTCCGCCGCTGCTGCTGCTGCTGCTGCTGCTGCTGCTGCGGGGCTCCGCGGCGAAGACGGGGACCCGGGGCCCCCGCACTCAGACGCGCCTCCTGCTGCTGCTGCTGCTGCTGCTGCTGCTGCTGCTGCTGCTGCTGCGGGGGGCGAAGGATCCGCAGCAGCAGCGTCAGCAGCTGCTGCGCCTGCTGCAGCACGCAGCCGCCGCTCCATCAGGGCCCTGCAGCAAAACAGCAGCAAACCACGCGCTGCTGCTTCCCTGGGAAATTCCAACAGCAGCAGCAGCAGCAGCAGCAGCAGCAGCAGCAGCAGCAGCAGCGGGAGAGGGAAGGGGTACCTGCAGGCGGCATCATCTTTTGCTGCAGCTGCAGCATGGGCTCGTTCCTGCGTGGCTGCATTGCTGGCTGCTGCTGCTGCTTCCTTGGCGCCGCCTGCTGCAGCAGCAGCAGCAGCAGCAGCAGCAGCAGCAGCAGCGCTGCTCTTGCTCTGGTGCTTCCCCAACTCCTCAGCAGCAACAGCCCAAGCAACAGCAGCATCAACTCCCTGCAGCAGCAGCTGCAGCCGCCGCTCCATAGCAGCAAGTTGAGCAGCAGGAGAAGCAGAAGGGGCCATGGAAGCAAAAGTGTTGGCGACCCTCAGGGGGGCCCCCCCCAGGGGCCCCTGCTGTACCCTGTGGGGCCCCACAGGGGGGCCCCCCGGGGCCAGGGGGGCCCCCCCGGGGGCCCCCCCCGGGGGGCCCCCCCCCCTGCGGGGCCCCAGGAGCGACGCAGCGAGCTCGCCCTGGTCCCCCGGCGCTGCTGCTGCTGCTGCTGCTGCTGCTGCTGCTGCTGGGGGCGGTGCTGCTGTTGCTGCTGCTGCTGCTGCTCCTGCAGCAGCAAAACGGTCCACGAGGTCTCTGTCGAAAACTTGAAAAAGAGATAAAGGCAGAGGAGAAGATCGGACAAGAGAAACTGCTTTTTGTCTTGCTGCTTCGAAGCCGTCTTCGCCCACGGGAAAGTGGCGAATCCCCACGCGGTACCTGCAGCTGCTGCTGCTGCTGCTGCTGCAGCTGCTGCTGCTGCTGCTGCTGCTGCTGCTGCTGCCCACAGACTCCAAGTAGTAAGCCACCCAGCACCGCCCGTGCTCGTTCCGCTGGTACGTCACGCCCAACACCTCCTCCAGCTCCTGCACACAAACCCTAAACCCTAAACCCTAAACCCTAAACCCTAAACCCTACACGCACACACTGAACGCCAAGACATTTGGGAATGGACGAGCAAGTCTGGTGTTACCTGGGGCCTAAAAACTAAAGCCTAAACCCTAAACCCTAAACGCTAAACCCTAAAACCTAAACCCTAAACCATAAACAAACCCTAAACCCTAAACCCTAAACCCTAAACAGACCCTAAACCCTAAACCCTGCACCCTAAAACCTAAACCCTAAACCCTACGGGGATGAAGGGGTAGTTGGTGGGTTCTTCTTCCACTTTTTCCGCGTCTCTGCGGATGCAAACCG